TACTTTTTCATCACTGTCATAACTGCAAACCTGTCCAAGGCAGTCATTAAATGAGGACTACCTATATTTTTGTCTTTTAGAAAAAAAGAGAATAGTGAAACCACTATATAGGAAGAGTCATAAGTGAATGATATACAAAAAGCTTTAGAAGTGGCTCAGTATAACAGATGCTGAGTCCTGATCTGGAAGGATTTATGACTGTCATGCTAGTATTCTTTAAAAAAAAACACAGCTTAAAGACATCTTGTATAGGAGATTCACAATAGAAAATGGCAATAAAACACATGGCTTAAGGAGACTTGTACAGTTTGGTGCTGAAACATATTGCTAAAAACCTTGGGATAATTATAAAATCACTGGAGTGTGTGCAGGGATTTATATAGCCAAATTTCTGTTGGCAAGCTCTAGTGAACATTTTCCCTAAGAGTGCTAAATCCCTCCACACAACAGTGCCCAAGATTTATATACATACATCCTACTGGCTTTACTCTGGGAAAGGGCCAGGAGGAAGAGCAGCATACTAGTTGTGCACTATTGCTTCAATGTGCCATGCTTCAAGCTCCTTCTGGCAGGAGTATATTCTCCCTCACCAGTTCTACTAAAGGTAGGGATGGATGCTGAGTGCCTACGCTCAGGATACTCAAGCAGCCCTACTCATGCCCCCCTCCCCACCTTTCCCCATGCCTGTTCGTTCAGGGTTCCTAGGCCATGCACGTATTAGACAAATGTTAACCTTCTTCCCAGTTTGAAATTGGGAAAGTATGTCATAAATATTGTGTACAGTTGCTGATATGTTCCATCTTCATCTCTGTGTCTTTTAAAATTTAGATTTTGGTTACTGATTCATTATATTTGCTGCAGGATGATGCCATGCTAAGCAGAATGATTGAAATTATTCTATCTGGAGTTATAGTTACTAAACAAAGTTCTAAGCCTTTCTCCCCATTTGAAATTTGTAAATTGATTGGTGTAGAGTAGCTTATAAACTAGGGTCTTATTTACAGAGTAGGAAAGGAGGGGAGAGATACTTATTATGGATTACAGTATTATGCCCTGTAGGAATGATAACTCTTTCAAAGTAGTGTGTGAGGCACTTTGAAAGATACATAGGAAAGAGAGAACTAGGAATTGTCAACCCCTGACTCTGCCTCCAGTGGGAAGCTAACTTTGGAATACAGTGTATCTTCCATGTGCAGAAGTTATTTAATTCATGCAAGAAACAATCTGAATTCCAACCTGTTATATATTGAAGGTGTAAGGTAGAAAGTAAATATGAAAATTACAGATTGAGAACTAGAATCTACTTGTATAAACAAAATTAATAATGACATAAAACTGAGAACAGAACCTATTAAGCAAAACTAGATCTTTACTTGTTTTCAAAAGTGTAGCACACATGAATGATAAATTATATAAACTCTTAAATGGCTTCATTGGTACAACATAATAGATTTTGTGTGAGCTCCATTTTCTCTATTCTTTTGTCTGTCCTTTATTGTCCTTAAGATTTTTTTTTTTTAATGACTCATCCTCACGTCCCACATTGCTTCTCAGGTCTTATGCATGGTTGTACCTTTGTTATTACTTCGGGTTGGAACCATTTAGTTTCTCTGTTCTGATTCCTTGGCTGTCCATGGGCTATTTCTAGGTGTTGCTGGCCACAAGGACAGAACTGGACTTGCTGCCAACACTGGAATTCTTTTGCAACACTACTTGTGTCTCTCCTCCTTGCTGATATTGTCAGTTATTTATTATTTTATTTCATTAGATTTGGTGCCATCTGATTTCAAGTGATTCTCTGTGGGTCACAATACACCAAACAAGATAGAAACAATATAATAAGAAACAATATACAACAAAAACCAAAGTAGAACAAAAAAAGACACCCCCCCCAAAAAAACCCAGCAGATACCCTCAAACATCCCACCATCCCATATGCAGCAGAAGGGGCTCCAGCTGCCTTAGCCTAAGGCCTGGGAGAACAGCCAGGTCTGATGACTCTCTGGAATACCAGCAGGGTGGGAGCCATATGGATCTCAGGGGGAACCTCATTCCAGAGGGTAGGCACTGCAGTAGAGACGGTGTACTTCCTGGGTCTGTAGATGACATTGTTCAATCAAAGGAACCTGGAACATGCCGACTCTGGCAGTTCAAGTTGGCTGGGCAGAGACCACAGGAGTTTGGTGACCCTTTTGGAAAGATGCTAGACCCATGTTTAGAAATAACCTTACTTGCAGATCAGAGATGCAGGGTGTTTCTGTATATATGATGTTAGCTGGGCAGTTTGACAAGTATCTGAGCGCATCATTCTAGGCTCCCACCTCCGTGTGCCCAATCCTGCTTCATTAAGATTAGGAAGAGTCCTTAGTAATTGTTTTCCCACTGACAAGCAGTGTTAAGTGGAAGGAGAAATGAAGCCGGGGAATCCATTGCTTTCCTTACTTGGGACAGCACTAATTGCCAACTGCATTACTGTGGCAGTAGTTTGGCAATCAGGACAGCATTTTTTTTGCCAGCAAACTTCTATGGTGGCTCATGGTGATAGCATTTTAAAGTGGCTGTGCTCCTTGATTAAAAGTTTATGGGTATAGAATATATGTGTGAAATAGAAAGGAAGTGTGTACATACTATTTTTCACATTTTGAACAGAAAAGCAATATTGCCAAACTGAAGGCAGGATTCTTATGCAGTTCTTAGAACAGGTTTATGAATTGTCTAACTTACTAAAATTAAACATTTAGTAATTTAAAGATTTACTAGGAGTTGAATGGCTTTGAACACAATTGGACTTACAAATACCTCTGTATCAGGGAGTTTGCAGGAGGCACATAGTCCCCAAGCATCACTTTTATTATCGCCTAGCATGCTGAGAGTGTACTGCCAGTTTGGTACTAAATGGTCACATTTCAGTGGTATGATTTTATATTGCTTTGGGGAAGGTAGCAAGTTTATAAGGATGGGGAGAGGAATATTTCTACCTAGTGGCCTCTTGCTCCTAGTTTCCCTCAAAAAAAAAAAAAAACTTTTTAAAAAAAGGGGGACTGAAAATTTTGACCATGCATGTTCTGGTGGTGTCACTATCATGGGACAGAATTCTGTGGGAGCAGAATGTAGGGAGACTGAGTTGCAGCATTTGACTCCTCGAATGTTGCCCATTCCACTCTACATGTTAAATGCCAAAGTCTAATCTTAAGAATGCATGTATTATCTAAAGTTATGATTGTTATAAATACATAAATACATTGTTAGAAGCAATCCAAATAAATTCAGTGAGGCAAATTTCGTAGCTGGACAACAGAACTAAGTTTTTGTGGTTGAACTAGTCTGCTTGACACTCAGCTAAGTAATAATTCAGCTGAAATTTGAGACACTGATTTATACATTCAGAATCTGTATTTCTTTATTTCAAGTTCTAATCAAATGTGACCACTGTAGTACTTTATTGAAATCGTATGAAGATTGAGACAAAATGAAAGTTGGTATTTGTTTCTTTGGGTATGTATGGCACCTTTTATTTCCCAAGTTTCAATAAAGCCAAATAAGAAGACTTGAGATGAGGCTTTTAACAGAGGTTTTATT